TACATATTCACTGAATTCAACAGTATTAATATATGTCCGCTCATTATAGAGCTCATAGAGGCGATTTCTACTCTTATAGATACCAGTGGTTGCCCAATCACCAAAAGACACATTGCTATTAGCTGGAATAGTTTTATCTGTAAAAGTAGACTTAAACTCTGTTAGGTACATTTTAAAAAACTTATCATATAAAGTGTTAGAATTCTTATAATTCAACAACAAAGGCAATTTGTTGCTGAGTTTAGCTTTGAAAAATTCAATGCGTCTTTTAGTCTTCGGATTAACTGTGATAAATTGTTTTGACACTATATTTATTTCATTTGTTAAAGAAATTAACTGACCACAATGATCGGAATCAAGTACTGAAATTATTTCTTTGTTAACTGGCACAATGTCGGTATAAATATTGTCCAGGCAAGTGGCACTAGTGGGTGTTATCCTAGTTGGCTCCAGAAACAAATTCACAAGGTTGTATGAAGAAAATAAACTTACAATTTTTGTGCTTAAACTACATTTTTCTAATAAATTTATATTAAAATCACCACATGTAATGATGGATTTCTTTGAATTTGTAAGTTTACTTAATACTTCATCCATTACTGTTTCAAAACAGTCATACAAACCTGAAGGTGGTCTATACACGCTTAATACAATAAACCGCTCCAATTCCACACAGGCTATTTCAACAGTACGCTCAACAGAGTAACTAACTATATCTTTGCGATCTTTGAATTTAAGCTGATTACTTATCAGTATAAGTGAGCCACCATGTATAGCGTTTACTCTGCTGAACGAGCTACCAATCTGGTGCTTACCAAAATTGAACATGAGCTGATGAGGTTTTAGCCAATGTTCAGTTATACACAAAATATCCACATTATTACAATTTAAAAATAACTCAATTTCTAATTCTTTGCTCATAAAGCCTTGAATATTTTGGTGAACCAGATTAATAACCTTATTACTGTTTAATTTGCAAGAGGTTGTCTCTATTGTCTTATTTAATAATTTAAATTATTATGAATGTCAGTATTAGGTGAATTATTATGAATGTCAATATTTTTTGGTTGCTCAATAGGAGTAACCTGTTTAGCCAAGTTATTGGCTGATATATTAAAAAAATATGATAGCGATATTGCTATTTGTCTTAAATAATATTTTGAAAGATAGTACCTATCTTTTGTCTTATCAATTTTAAGAATACATAATATGTTTTAAGTGTGGGAGAGCCATGCTTCAGCACTTCACACACAGGATTGATACCACGGCCTCGCAGTAAACCGGAGTGAAATAACCAGAGTGTTGTGTTTCGCCGTGTGAATGAGGTTACCGGAGGCCCAATCCTTCCTCTATCCCAATCCCTAAATCTCCATCCCCTAATCCCTCAAAGGTCGGCAATGCACTCGTAACTCCTCTGCTGCGGGTGTCCATGGGCGGCGTGATTGCTTATTATCGGGTAATCCGGCTCGTTTGCCGACCTATTGAGAAAAGTTAAGATAAATAGGTACAAACTTTTTTGTATTTGGACCAACTGATAACGTCACGTCATACCCGTGAATGGGTGCTGTCTGTTGGGACAGACTGGCTCTTCCAATATTTCTTGACAAAATGTCCTCAAAGAACCATTCTATGCAGGACCAACTCTTATTAAAAGGTCCTATGTTAAGGTCCTATCTATATGCATATGTTATTATATATCGTTAAGTCTATAAGGCGATATGAGCAGTTAATATTGTTTGTATTACCTACAAGATTTTGTTGTCACTAAATATAATAATCCTAACAAATTCCTTATTATAATTTGTAATATCGATAAACAATGTCAAAATGAACACAGTAGTTATCTACAAAAATGCATCGAAAAACAAAACTCCTAATCAGATTAGGCATTACCTACCTATAGTTTATTCCATAATTAGAGACAAAAATTTGACAACTGCAAATGTCAAACTACAAAATACTGTGGCCAGATTTTTTAACATAGTGATGGGACCCGAGTAATGTTTTAAAATACCGATACCGGTTTTTTTATCAATTACCCTGAACACTAAAACAAAAAAAAGTTACGGGGATGTTTTTATAGTATAATTGTATCTAGTTATTAATATATGAAGCGTAGAAAGGACTTGAAGATTATCACAAATAAATGAACTCGGAGCAATATAAAGAGATCAGAGATCGGATAGGAGCGATATTACAATCTGACTGACAGACATTATTTTTATAATTATAGAAACCAATACCAACGTATTTCTAGGCTAAATTATGTTTGACATTCCATCTGTTAATTTGCTGTGACGAAATGCCAAAGCTGATTATAGTTTCTTGTAAAATAATTATATCATATCAATGCTAATAGTTAATAGTTTTACAAATGATTTTCGGTCTTTCGGTTAATACCGGTCGCGGGACCTCACTATTTATGAAATGGAAAAAACGTGCAACACTCGAAATGTCAAATCGTTGTCTCTAATTATGGAACGAACTATATTGTATTTAAATTTGAAAAATTGATTGACGCCTTTGACATTGATTATCAACTGTATAATCAAAGCTGCTACTGAGCAAATATTAGTTTTGATTTTGTTACTGTGCAATTCAGGCACTCTCGTTTACATTTAGTCAGTAAGTCTGACCTATGGGCCACTACGACTTATTTGAATTAAGGGTTTACTCAAACAAAAAAACAAAACATCATTCAAGCTCCTTTATTTCGACCAGGTACTTACAATGTGTTCACAAAATTTATAATGTTTAAGCCAGGTAGGCGTACGATAGGCAATATCTATTACAATACAGTTACAATCATACCAGTAGGTACACATAGGTACATAAAATTATTTTAGACTGTAAATATTTAAAGACTGTGCAGACGAGAGACTTTCTTTGTAAGCATTTATTTTATTTTCAATTTTGAGATAAAAACACTAAGAACTTTACTCACTTGACTTTGGGAGCACGCTTGGTGAGTTATTCGGTACAATTTTGTATTGACAAAAAGTCCCTCGTCTACTCAGACGTTTCACATCAATATTTAAAATGTTTATAGATATACAATTATATGTTAAATTACGACCGAACTTAAAACTTATTGAGTACCTTGTCCCTTTCATTCCTTCAACACTATATTATGCAAGTGATCCTAATGTTCAAAATTGAAATGTGCGACAAAAGCATACGTCGTACTTAAAACAATGCGCGGACCGTTTACACAGACTAAAATGTTTTGACCATACAACCAGTTACAACGTACGTTAACCATGCGATTATTTATTTTATTATTAACATCCAAGCATCCTGCCATTGATTAAAAGATAACAAATATGACTACTAAATGTTGAGACTAGAGATACAACTTAAATCTAACAATGTTATCTTAAATTTCATGATTATTGGTAGGTATTACTATAAAACATTATAACATTAGCTGGTTTATTTCGGGCACACTATAATTAGGAAGCTAGACACTAATCAAAAAACAAAATTCGATGTTCTTATTACTAAAAATTGAAGTCAAATTGTTAAAAAAAACATCGCCCTTTTATTCCCCGTAAGGATGCAGTAATAGTGTACATGTTAATTGTAACACTTTTATACATATTTGTTGTGTATTTCGTGTAGTATTGGGCGAGCATTTTGCTGTCAGCCGGGGTAAGTTCAGACTCCGAACTATTATTGAGTTTCTTAATACGAAAAAGACAATAATAGATCGGGATCCCACCCTAGACTAAAACCGACGAAGTCACTAAAATAAGGATAAAGCTAAGAATAACAGAAGCTGATAATTAAACTATTTACAAGCCTCCTTTGAGTACCTACGTATCTTAAATTAGCTAAACTTTAAATATGAGAGGACAATTCCACATTTCAATGTTACATATATATAATTTAAAAATATTTACATAATGAATTCACATTCTGCCGGTGACAATTGATGTAATGACGATAATATAAATCTAAAATAAATATAATAATGTTCGAGAGATATTTTAAAATAACAAATGTTCATGTAAATCTTAAAGGAAGCAATAATTAAAACTATCTTAATGATATCACAGTTCATTTATGCAAATAAAGATATATATGTATGTATATAGTTTGTTTATATAAGTATATTATATTACAAATTGGAATAAATCACCAAAAGAAATTGTTGTTATGGCAATGATTTGAACATTTCAACAGAACAACAATATTTTTGTTCGATATTTAGGGTTCCATGTTCATTACAACACCATGGTTGTACGACCAATCGCGCAACCCGGTTGACTAAGACGGCCTTATTACAGAACAAGGTATCTAGTCTAGGTCTAAACCATTGAGCTAGTTTTTGTATTTCAAATTGAAGGTAGATGAGAATAAGATTCAAAATACAAAACCTGACTCAATGGTTTAAACCTATACTATACTGTAATAAAGGGGCGGGACTAAGGTACATAGGCTTGGTCTTGGTCGCCGGCAACTAGTTGCGCAACCATATTGCTGTACCACTCGTATAGCTCTGGTGTCCTAATCAAATATGGCTCTTATTGATTACAACATAACATTGCAAATTAAAAAATAGGATATCAATTGTCTTGTAAAATGTGTTTCCTTTAATAATATTAATACACGATGAATATTTTTAATATCTTTTTTTTTGTAATATTTAATCTATTTGAAATATGAATTTAGACAGTTTGGATAAAGGTGCTTTAGATCTAAGTAGTATTATTACATCTCCGCGATGGAGTAGCACGTGTTAAATGTACCTAATATTAATACATTATTACCAGTTGTCTTATTAATATCCGATTTATTGTTATAATCAGGTAAAATGGAAGCTACCGTTTTTTTGGACATTCCGACCTCTATAAACGGTAGCCTCCTTGCAGAATTAATTGTATTATTAAGAGTTTTCGAAAATCGAAAACCTTAATTAAACTTGATAACCATTGCTTTGTGAGCAAAAATATCATGGATATTCGATATAATTATGATAAAACGCTCACATGACAGAAAGAGAGAGTATAAATCCGCACCCTTATCGCTACAGTCAATTACAACTATTTGGATAAATTTATTTCTAAGTGAACAAAAGTATTCGTGTAGACAATGATATGGTCTAAAACCTGTTACATATGTAGTGCAATTAATGTTGAAATGTTGAATGTGTTGTTCAATAATTACTTCAATTGGCTAGAGTCGTGGGGTATTTATGTTGGACATAGGACCTTTAGGATGTAGTCTGTTAATAGCGTCGGCACGGTCGGGCTATCCTCGTTGATCGCCTTCAGAACTGAAATTAATAAAGGTTGTTTTGTTATAAAATGAAAACATTTTGTAGTGTTTGAAAATAACATTGTTTGGCGTTACTGTTTTGGTTGATATATTTGCATAATAATACAGGTACTTTTTAAACGTCAAGGTAGAATAGCAATAGCACTTCCGTCTGTTCGTCAGTAAAGGTACTCTTTCCAAAGTGTAGATTAATTGTATTGACATCATTAGACTGTTCATAATATGACGGCAGAAAAAATACAGTATAGGTAAGAGAAATCAGAAATAAAATGAAACTTACTCTTAATGAGCACTTGGAGCGACTGGTTGTCCGGGGGTCCGTTGTCTAGATGGAACGGTATCACCGTAGTCAAGTACTGAAACATTACACAAATATTAATTTAGACGACATATTTTAAAATAATACACGTAAGATTGAAAGGATAAAGTATAAGGTGTAGGTAAAGAAAATATTATAAGTAGGTACTTTATTTACTACATATTTAAAAAAGTAAAGATATATAAATAATTTCCCCCTAGGCTAGCGACTTTTTACGAGACCAGAGAGCTGTTATAGCATTGCCATACAACGTGGCAATCCTGCCAAACTTTTGGAAACGATCCCCTACAAAAGTGGAGCGGGCGAATTATTAGGAGCTGTGTAAGGTAATATAGAATGAGCCCATACGGTTTTATAAAATAGTCACGCTAACTTGTTTCTGGTTTGGTGGTACATATGTGGTAATTGGTTCCGAGTTATATGGTAACTGGTACTGAGGTATGTGGTAACTGGTTCAATGGTATGGTAACTATGTTACAGTTACACAGTTGTGACAAATTCTTTGACGCCCTAATCTGTGGATTTTGTGACTTTTCCAACATTAAAAAATTATTAGGTACTTTTAAGATAAGAAATGCAAATATTTTCATTTCAGATCGTGTTTATGGATAAGAAATAATTGATTGGTCACAGATAGTTATAATAATGGTTGAGAGTCACAGAAAACGGCGTTGGCGTCGGTCAGCTGTCCGTAACAAGGGACTTTCACTGTACATTTACAACTTTTATTATTATAAGATTTCTAATAGGTCTGTTGCTGGTAACTTATGGACTAATAAATATAACGATAATCAAGCCTTTCTTACTATTTACACACTGTTTTAAGTCTTTGTTAATAAATAAGAATAGTATTGAAGAAAGTAGAAACGTCAAGCATTTTGAACTGATAACAGATACATCGTATCTACATAAATTTGTCTAATAAAATAAAAAAATTCTAACAGATAATAAATAATTGTATTTTTATGTGATTGGTCGGCAAACTTGCAGACGGATTATTTGATGGTAAGCAATCGGCACCACCGAGGACAACCGCAATACCATAGGAGTTATGAGTGCGTTACAGGAGAATAGGGTTTCGAAGATTTAGGGATTGAGGAGTATCAAGTACCTCTGGTAACTACAATTACGCGACAAAACACAACGCCGTGTTTGTGTTGAAGGCATGGAGAACGGTGTCAAGCCGACCCTTTCGTGCCGAAGCATGACTTATACAAATTCACCACGAGTTAATTGAAAGTGTCGGTATTTCAGAGGCAGTATCTAACAAGCAGTGGATGCAAATAGTCTTAACATGAATCGAAACCCTATAAATACAATCAGATCAAAAAACACAGAACCCTTACCTTAGACTCAGTATGGCCACCGTTCAGATTGGGCGACCTTGGTGGCTGCGGCCTCTTCTTCTTCTCAATATGATACTGTCGCCTCTTATTCTGAACAGCTAACAGCAGAGATATGAAGGTGTTCTTCAACTCCTTTTCATATTCCAGCTCATCACGCAGAGCGAGTTCAGCAATCAGAGTCTCAGAGAACTCGCGGATCAGGACTTCCAACTCCATAAATATTTCGTTCAGTTGAGCAAGCGAGTATGTGCGCAGCTCTGAAATGGTAAAAACATAGGTTAACAAGGATATTTTTCAAACCCTAACATTTTTTTCAGTTTCATCTTCTAGTTCTTGTTTAGGTGATAAAGCATACGTTTTTAGTTGAGGGTATCTTATACAGTGGGATATATTCAGGGACCCGATTCTGGTGCTAAATTAAAACAACTTTCTCCATTAGACCAATATGGAAATCTCAAAGGAGTTTTTACTAAACCGTCAATCAGCTGTTGCGATTCGTATGGGGAAATAAATGTTTTTTTGAGATTTGTATATTGGTGACATGGAAAAAGTTCTAATTAAGAAAGTATTAAATAAACTTATGTAAGGTTAATAAAATTTTGTTCTTCGATTTTATTCTGCATTAAAAACTACTTTTTATTGGTTCCCTTTCATATTGCATAACATGTAGGTACTACATGAGTTTAAAACGTGTTTTGCATTCGTTACTTAATTGAATGAAAGTTTTAATATAAAGACAGATAGATAACGTATAGGATTTTAAGAGATCTTAGATGTTTACTACAAACGTCTAGTATGCGAATAGAATAAATAAAATTTAGTTTAAAAATACCCATGCTGATACATTCTAGTAGTAGCGTAAAGTTTATTTTATAACTTTCAAACTGGGTTTAGATTCAGTTCACGAGTAATCCGCATCTGTTGTTCTTCTACAAGATTTACAAGACATACTAATGTTTATTACCGCATACTTTCCATTTTCCAAAGCAAATACATTAATGAAATGTTTTTAAAACCTATTTGAACTAAATCGTGATTGATGTTATAGATAAAATGGGGTTATTGATTTTTTTATCAGATTAATTAACGGCAAATATAAACGTTTTCAGAGTACACGTGGGAGGCTGAGAAAATATAGTGATGCGCCATTGCGCCAAATTAATCGCAAGCGCAGGGGTGAACGCACTCGAGCGAAAGAATCGGCCATAGCGCTGCGTCGGGCATTAACAGATCGTACTCGATTGTACACCCATATCGAATGACGACAATTGAGAGCTTTATTGATCAATTTATGATTTACTTTCACACTGAAATTATACATAAATTGCTTTACAGCTACTACTACGGACACAAATAAATATTTGAATATTTAAATTAAAAACTGTAACTGTCTGTATTCGATACAGTAATCTGTTATACTTTCTTTTACAGCGACGACTCTCGCGTTGTTAATAAAATTTTATACAGTTTATTTTGGATGCGGAATCAACTTTCCGTCCTCGATTACGTCAATCGATGTTGTTATTAATAAAGTAAGTAAGCAAGTTGATGGATCGCAAACGCACAAACGCATAATGCTTAGTAAACATAAGGAGTATCTAGAGTATAGGCCGTTGACGAATGATGTTATGGTCGATGCCACCAACGTTATGTCATCAAGTTACATAATTTTCGCCTTTGTTGAATGATTCTCACGTTTCAAATTTAGTTCCAGAGAAGCATGAATTCAGCAATTACTATTATTGTGACAAAAAGTAACAAATTGCTGCAAAATCAATTATGTCATTGGGTACAGCAAAACATGGCACGCAGTTCTCCATTAAGGGTAATAAGCGTCAAACCGGATCGGCTCTCGTAAGCTAGCGGCTAGATTTTTAGTGAGATCATTCAGTCAACGGCTACTTGTTTAACAATCCGGTTTTAATGATCGTGCGTAGGTAGAAATCAAATAAAAAATGTTAAATAGAATTTCTCAACTCCTCAAAAATAAAGGCTCGGTTAGAAATTAGCCTTAAATATCGTGCATACCATAATTACCTACCCATCTATATTCAGCCAAATTTATGAATACTTGTAATACCTATATCTGTCATAGCAGTAATTACAAACTGCAATCAACTTGAATAAATTGTAGAATGAAGCTATTTCTGGCTATTAATTAGAGTTACACCGAAGTGACGGAGTTGATGAACCTATATTTGTACACATGACGTCCTTACATTTAACGTCGGGACCAGACACCAATGTAGGTATACATAGACATACATATGAATCATACATGGGATGTTTACGTTCAATTAACAATATTGGCTCCGACCTTCGTACATTTTTAACCATTTGCTTGGTACAAGTTCACCAGTAGCTGGTCACCAGCTTTTATGTAATGTTAGGATTAAATATGTGAGAAAATGTGAAACGAAATAAATTAAAAAATATTTAACTAGGTACTCATAAAAAATAATATAGTTTCACAAATACAAGCTGACTTACCGAAGTCCATACCGCCTTAAAAAGTTTAATAATGACAGTTTTGTGCAGACAGGTTTTGATTGGGACAAACGTGAGCTATCGCCCTACAAAATAGCAAAACTTGTTTTTTTCTAAGTCATCTTTTGCTGTGACATGTGACTATATGTAAGTATTTCAAATTGTATAAAAGTTTTGTATAGTGCCATTTCATTACATACGCCTTAAAGAGGACCTCCCTTTTATGGCTGGGCGATACAAGGCTCGGGTTTTTAGGTTACTGGTATTAATTATTGATTTTTATTTGATATGCCTCTAAAACCGAGATTCAGTTCAATCTATGAATAAAATTACTTCGGGTCCATCCATGGGTGAGACGAGAGGTGGGTAGAAATAAGTACTAAACTCCTACAACCAAATGATAAAAAAAACTTTGCTGAATTTTTCAACACTATAACAAAACAACTGTCTTCTTGTGCTTTATCATAATACAAATAGTAAAAGATACTTAACCTAGATTTCAGCTAACAGCTAGTTTTAAATGAACGGCTATCACACTCACATATCCTAGCTAAGTATAAATGGGTGCTTCTACACAATGCACAATACTCTCTGAATAGACGGGAAATCAAAACATGTTCCTTGTTTACAAACATTAAGTCTCAATAAACTGCAGTGTTTGTACTAATATTAATTTAAACAAAACACAACCGTTATTTTCAAATACCGTTCAAGTACTAGACTTCAACCGTCTGCAATTATAAAGCAAACTAGCTTCTCTCGCGTAGTTTCACCCACTGCTAGAGATCCTTGATGTTTTATCCTATAGCTTTCCTCGATAAATGGACTAACAAACACAAAAAGTACTGTTCAATTCGAACCAGTTGTTCCGGAGATTACCGTGTTCAAACAAATAAACAAACTCTTCATCTTTATATTATTAATCTATAATATAAAAATGAATTGCAAAATGTGTTGGTAAGCGCATAACTCAAGAACGCCTGGACCAATTTTGCCAATTCTTTTTTTGTTATGTTCGTTATTGTAAGAAGAAGGTTCTTACGAAAGAAAACTTAGTAAAAATAAAGGGGAATAGCGGAAATCAACAACCCTTTCGGTGCCGTGGCCGTTCACTTGCAAAACATATGACTGGCATCGAAGTAGTCGGATATCCGTGCGAAGCAGGGGCGTTCTGCTAATTAATAATAATAGTATAGATAAAGAAATGATTCAATAGTAGTGTAAATACTCACTATCTTCATAGAGCGGCGAGCTGAGTACCTCCTTCCCTTTCTCCAGAGCTTCGTTGTACTCGATGATGTCACCTTCTGATGATGGAGTGTCTTGCATCATGTCATCTATCTCCTGTATAACCTGAATATAGAGAATAATACGTTTTGACTTAGCTCTCCATTCTGCTCAGTTTTTTTTGTCTATAAGGATTTTTAATGGTGAGCGAGTTTACACCTAAACTATATGTGTCCCTTTGTCTATTTTAATTATCTAAAGAAGAAACATGTCAAACATCTTTCTCGCTGTCCAACATGCCATTTTCGACCAAGTGTCTTACAAAATAAGTATGATTTCTAAAGCATTGCTTACCTCATCAGCAGTCTTTACTGGGCACTCGTGGTCCTGGTGGAGCCCTCCCAAGATGAGAGCATGCATGTCCAGATCTGAGGCCACGGCCTCGTCCTCCGAGCTGTGGATCTCGTCGTCAGGAGTCATTGAACTCTGAACAAGGAATGTTTTAAGTTAGATGTGAGAATAATTAAACATATCAATGTAATGTCTTAGTGGATTTTTTCTCTCACAGATTAATTAATGGTTGGCTTGAATATAATGAAATAAGTCGGTGCATACTTTATCAAATCGGTGAGTAGGTACCTTCAAGTAATTACGCAATTGTAAAGACTCACGTTCTTTATGATTTATCTGACTACAACTAAAATCACCTTAGTTTGCGAGCGACTCACGCTGTTATCATTATATCACAATGGACCGTAAGTAAAAAATTACCTTTCCATCAATTAATATTTCGCAGAATCAGATTTTGTAAATATGCAAAGAAATTAAGCTAATAACGGGTTTGGTGTGAAATTTCGCGCGACTTATGTTTTCACAGAATTATTTAAGCCTCATCAAAAAACTGGAACATCCATTGCAGTTTGATGAACATTGCATTTTAATAATACGCCAAGGCAATAACATTATTTTCCCACGAGACAATGGATAGCATTAAATACGACGTTTTTCGTCGTTAACATCGTACCTATAATATAGCAGAAAATGAAACAAGAGAAGTGAAATTAAGCACCTATTTACGTTTTATTTCTTTGCTAAATTGGCATAAGTAAATAAATAATACTTTTAGCATTGTAATTTAAATACATACGAAGCGATCGTTTTTGTTTCGTCGGTAATGTGTATAAGGTATCTATGTATGCTTAAGATGGTCTTACCTTTTTGTCATTAAGATTCAAGGTAGGGATATGCATCTTCCTGGAGAACGATTTAGTCCAGTCAATCGGAAGAATGTTTCCGAAGTTACCCGTGATCGTCCACCACATTCTGGAAAAAAGAAAAGCAATTTAAGTACTTAAAACCAAAGAAACTTTATAAATCAATAAAGATATTTTACGGTACTTAAAGTGCCTTAACAAATCGTAAAATTCTAGTAAAAGAGATAATGTCAAGACGATAGAACCACGCTCAATGGAACTCCATTAAATTTAGTACATAATGATATCATCAAAAGACAGCGTGATTTATGAAAAAGTTAGGGTTCTTACATCGTTTGAAGAATTAAAACGTCTTTGGGACTTGGTATTCTCTAGATTTAGATACGCTTATGATTATAGAAGATGAAGAATGTACTATAATTAAACCATAAAAGCGTTTATAATCAACGCTTCATAACAGTAAGATGAAATGGAATTCTCGTGTGAAGGTTCAGTGTCTTTGTTTAGTCACGTTATATCAGAGTGCGTAACATGGTGATGAATTTAATAACGACTAGGTGTTAAGTCTAACAAATCAATATAAGATGTGTTGGATGTACAGAATGGAGGTCACCCCATACTTCTTTACGTGCTATATTTGCTAGAGCCACTAACCAAATAACGTCGATAAGTTTGCACTTTGCACTTTAAAAGTGATAAGGAAGACCTGCTTACATTGTAAATATTTATAGAAAGGTCACAAACTTATTTCGTGAACCTGTTAATTCACAGACATCCTGAGTTCCCGACGCCGACACTGGGAAGAGCTCAATTGCCTCGCTACCCAATTATTCGTCAGCAAGGTCGTTGTAACCTCGCGGAGCCGATGTTTTAACATTTACAACTTTGGTTTTATAGTTCAATTCCTTTGGTAGAACTCAATTTGTAATCACGATTCTCTTTGATCATTTTCATGGATGGTAGGAGTTTTAAATGTTGATTGAAGAATTTTTGAGACTTGAAAGCTGCGCGTTTTGTTTGTAAATGATAATAGACTTTTGAATGCGAACGGTTATTTTGAGAGTAATTGAATCGCATCGAGGTTTCTCTTAGTAGACTATTGAAAGTCAATCAACTTATAAGAGTGTTAAATATTTCAGACACAGTGCCAAATACACTTTAACTACTAAATCATGAAATATATTTTTGATTCGATTTATAAGTCCTGGACTGATTTTGTTCAAGGATGATACTTGTATGAACACCTAGCTGCGCCCGTGAGTCAGCCGGAGGCATAAATTGGCGCTAATTTGAGATCTCGCGGCTCGCCATCGTTCAATTGAGGAATGTGTCACTTTATATTACGTATAAGTACTGCATCAGTAAGTACACATGGCAGTCTGGTGAGTATCATTACTTCCGAATACCAGTCTTTAAAAAGAAACTTTGACCAAAAGGAGACAGTACCTACGATATGACGAAGGGAATACATATTTAGCACTATTAAGCACATTAATCTGGAAATTTATAGATGCACCTCACTATGAATATCAAAAAGCAATTCATCTTTTATGAAAATCAGACCGAAATAAACGAAACAATATCTCATGTTTTAACACACGCTGAGTAATGTAGGTAATAAAAACGAATAAAAACTAGTTGCTATTCTTGGCTTCACACCAGATGGGTTTAGCTTCACGTAGAGAACCTAGATGCGACCTATAAACAAACGACTGAAAAGTTATTTTAGAGATAGAATAAAGACCTCTCCATAGCAATGAGTCGACGGAAAAGTAGATATTGATTTAAATTGCCCTAAATGATCGGACAAAAGTTGAATTAAGTGTTATAATAGATATTTTTCGGAGTAAAATAGAACTCATATGGCTTGTTAAATGGGAATGATAACAAGGGTAACGATGTTACAATATCAAAGTGATCTCCTATTGTTTCTTTGGGCTTATCTCAGTCCACTTTATTTGGTAATCTTTCCTAGATCGACATTTGTCATGTGACATGTCCTTGTTCGATGTAGCAACTTGGAAATCTGATATTGTAAGAAAACAAATGCTTGTTAAACTTAAATAAATAATATTCGTAGTTTAATGGTCCGATTTCATACCGAGCTCATCTATAACCGTTTAACTCTTAAAAAAAGATATGTGTTCACAGAAATGTAAGGGGAACACCATATAGCTGCTGGTAGAATAGGTAGAACTAGATACCATTACGTCAGCTAGATTGAGTTTTTTCTTTTATGCTTGAATTGTGGAGGCGTAGTGAGTTCTAACAACGTCAAAAAATATCAATAGCATAAGGTCTGCTGCGGTCGTTAGCATTGCGTCAGTTCGTCAAACCATATGGCCATCTGCGTTAATTGAAACGATACCCAACGATGACATTTTGCATGTTTGATCATTGTCACGTGTAGCAACCATAACACATTCTTTTGGTTAACATTGGAATGACATTTACAGAACCGTTATTCAAATAGATTACAGCATGCTTGAATCAAGACAAAACATCCGTAAAGTAAATATTTAGTCTGTTAGTGCAATCGTTGCTGCGGGATGTTTCTTCTCAAGTTTTTATTGTCTCAATATTGAAAGGATTATTCCAAGTTATTCTTTATTCATTAGACATATCGCTTGTATCTATCGTTTCCGAATCACCCGTGTACGAATTACAAATTCTATCTAAATACTTTACTGTAGACATTACAATATTATTAAACCAATTGGTGGGCCTGTTTTGCATTTAAATAGCTCGTAAAATTAGTTTTTATTTTTGTTTTATAGCTTGTTACTGTTTATAATACATGTAATAGAAATAAAATAGGTTTGGTGACATGGATGGTCTACGTAAACTGGAATCAGCGGCAGTGCCTGTTGCGTTACTAATGGTAGGGTTTGGGATGATTAAGAATCCAATGCGTATTTTTCCATACTTGGTAAAATATGTATAAGACTCTGCGTAGGTAGGTAGGTAGGTACTAAAGTCCAACAACTGTGACTCACAGCTTGGTCTAGCGTAGGCGCACGCATATAATAATTTAGGTCTCACAATCCGTCAAAAAAGTCTGCCATGCGTGTGAGGTCGCTGGATCAAAAATGGCCGCGGTCCACTGGCCCGAACGGTTTCACTATACTTCTTATTATGGTTAGTACCGTTAAGCCATGTTTACCTTTTATATTAGCAAATATGATTTGAATACGACTTTGCTATTGTACGTAGGAATTACTTGGTTTGTTAACTGTACTTTCATCTGCACTGGGTATGTAAGTGCTGTATAAAAGGAAAAAGAGAGGGATATAACTCTGGAACCTTTAAGAACGGTATCTATTAATAACAGTATTAAAAATAAAGATTTGTTTTTGGAACTATTAATCAGTCAAATATTAATTGAATCGAATGCAAATGATGATCAATAATAAAAACCCACATATCAAGTTCTAGAACACAAATAGGTACACTAGATTGCCAAACTGTTATAGCTAAAGAAATCATAAACGGATCATAAAGTTACCGACATTGAGTGTCGGATTACAGCTATTAGACTTATACCCATTAAATTCTTCATAGCTATTAGGTAAGTACATTCACACGTCAGTACAGTACCCACCCAAGGACGTTTCAATTTTATATAATTGGTTACATAAGAACATGTAGTTAAGTAAAAATTTTGTTCGCTGGCCTGAAGAAAATAACGTTTATTGATTTGCATCTCGAAACAGATAAAAACCCGCGTCATATGAGGCGCCGAACATAATATATTAGAATTGTTCATCATTCAGCTCATTGCAATGATAATAATATGTCATTGAGAATTGAGGTTTTCAATTTGCATCGTTTTATTTAAACACTACTAAACAAATCATGACTGACGAGTGAATAGTCAGGATGACGTTGGCTTTGCGGTGGAGACTCATAGTTGACGGGAAACATGACCTTAAGTTAGCAAAATAAGTATTTCCTAAAGGCGAATTTATTATACATAACATATTTAGTTAAAACACAAAATTTACCCAAGAATGTTTATGTACCTTAATAATGAGTTTACTTAATATAAAGTACATTTAGAGTACCTATAATAACATTTACTTTACAAATAGGGCAAGTTTGTCCTTAGGAACCAGTAATTATTTACAAAAAAGCTTATCAAGCTAGTAATCGTTGCGTAGGTTGAATCAAACATGACCTCACATCCATAGAAGGTTAGTCTAGGTAGACAAGACGTTAAAAATGGCGCCCAGAATAATTTGCGTTGTGAAAAAGACAACAATAGCCGAATTAGAAACTGCGCTTTATAAAATAAAATTTAACTGCTAATGTGCAACTTAACAGTAAATATATTGTTGTATTTAGTTGATTGAGGTAATTGACTTGGTATAATGATTGTGTAAAGTGTTTTACTATGATTCGGATTATGGACAAGTAACGGCTTTCCATATACCCATATGTGTGAAGGGCTCGCTTTCGAGAGACGTCGCTAGATAATAATTACCTGCGCACGATTTAATAATGTAGTGTAAGATTGTTTGAAGCATCTTGTTACATGTATTTGTGAACATGTGAAAGTAAGAACTCGAATAAGTTAAAAACAACATTTGCAAAGGCGTTCTTATCGCCAACAGCGATATCTGCAACCTTTGCATGTAACACACTTACATATTGTCGACAATGTTGATGAATATGCCTAATGGCGGAGACTCCGTGTCGTGGTGACCTGCATCTATAGTTATTTACTCTACATGAGTACCTACCTTCTTTTTATCATAAGACATACTGGGTTGAATATAATTTAGTAGTTATTTCCTTCTGTGACGAATAGGCACTATTTAACGGGAAAATTGTTAAATAAATTTGAGGAAAAATAAGTATTTCATTTAGTTACATACTTGTATTATAGGGATTAAACTCGGATACAATTAGGATATTCATGGATAGCGCAGTATTTTCATTTGTTAATTAAGGTTTCACTAATTAATATTCTACAGACAATCCTTTATTTAATGTTGGCACAGTAATTATTCAGCCCTTCGAAACCAAGCAACCGATTAATCGATGTGTCAATATAATATCGATTTCTCGGAATCTGCTTTCTTATTTTACAAGCCGATCGAGCGTGAA